GCTCGAAAGAGCACATTCATACTTAGCTGTAAAGTGGCTTTTTCCAACGCAAAATTGCAAATGGAGACGAAATTTGACATTTGATCTTTGAACATGAAAATAGCGGATCCAAAAGTTGAAAAATAAATTTAAGTAACCGAAATTCTTATTCTTACACGACCTACATTAAAAGAACAGTGAAGTTGTAAATTGGCTACTACAAAACGATTCTTATTTCTCCACTAAACTACAGAAAGCTCTCAATAAACTTTCGATCTGCCATGAATGTTTGATTCTGATACAATTTTTCCAATTCACCGATCTACCATCTGATTGAAATTTTTCAAGTATTGCTTCGTATGAATTTTTGAAAATACCAATAGAAGACACTCTCCTTTCAATTCCTCAAATGGTTTTAAAGGTAACAATGGGACGAAAAAAGTCAAATACGATATATATAAATGCAGCTCATATTAAAAGAAAAATCTGTCAATATCGCTACATTTTCATGGTGGAAATTGACGTTCAAAGGAAAGCTAATATGAATCCATTGAAAGGTCGGCATCTTTTCAAAGCTCTCGGAGTGAAACAGTAGCTTAATCCGAGACGACGACTTGAAATTATTGAAATACACAGTCTCACTTAATTAAGACCGAATGCAAATGAAGGGAAGAAAGCCCAAAAGTTCCCGCGCCGATATTTATACAAAGGAAATATCGATTACGTCGAGTTCCCGAGTAGTATTCGAGTGATATAAATTATTAACGAGTAAAGTTTTGTTGCTTACAGAAGCTCGATGTTTTTAAACTTGATCTGACAACCCCCTAAACGAATTTCATAACAGTTACATCCTTATGCTCTCCAGTTAAATTATCCGAAACGTCTTATTGTTCTTATCTTTAATAAAGTTCGAAGTTTACCCGACACACCGGTAATTAATTATGAAGTTCATTATTGTTCATATTCGCGGCGCTTTCAAATGGAAGAACGCCATTTAGCGGCAAGCCAAATGAAATGAGCTGTTGCGAATTTTGACAGTTGACATGGGGGGTTGTCAGGGAATTACAGACTCATTTAGAGATATATAAAGGTACGAGTAGACTACGGCGAAGGGTGGGGGGATTATGGGTATAATGCTTAGTCGATTAGATTTGATTCCGTTTTTTGGAGTAAAACTTGGGTGTTGTAAAATTCCTGCGTTAGATGTCACCTACCGCTATCCAATCCAAATCCCCCCCCCCCATTGAAATTGAAATCCCTTCTTCTATTAAGCGCCTCCTTGTCCCCTATAAAAGAACCTCATTTACCGAAATTAATGCCGACTAGAAACTGCCCCCTATGTGCATTCCAGACCAGAAACGTATCCTTGTATGTACTCCAGATGGGATTATTGCTCGTGATTTTTCCGAAGCAGATCCTCCATCGTGTAGGTATTCCATATCGGACCTTCTAATGATTATTTACTTATTATTCTCCATACTTGTCTCATCCATTATTTGTTTGCATGTGGGATCCAGATACTTCAATTCTCTCACTTCTTTCCTCCCTCTACGTGCATTCAAAGGGAGACCATTTTCAGTGATTTATCGGTCCGAAACATCTCCCACCCCTTCTCTTCTACTGCCACCCTACCACTGTCTTGTATAGGGTGTCCACATAAACCTTGATTTTAAATTTTAATTCCAAGAAAACTATTATCTCCGGCTTTCCGGTTTGCAGTATAATTCACACAAACAATAGTATATTAAGATACAAGTGTATAATCAAGTCTTTAAAGCACGCGCAACGAGTTTAATGGCACGACGCGAAGCGGAGTGCCTTTAACGTTGCAAGTGCTTTAAAGATCAATTATACACGTGTATCTTATAGTATTTTTTATTATACCTGCAGTATAATTTAAAAATAGGAAATACAATGAAATCATATTGACGTTATACTCGAAAACATGTCTAATTAAGTGGGCTGGGTGTTCGTAATTTCACGATTGCCATGGAAATGTCAAAAATCATCGTCTTTGTGAATAAAACGATTTCCGTTGAAAAAGATAATACACCGTCCATTAAACCGCTTGTTGTAAAATCTAAACAAACGTTGGTAGGTGTAAAATCCAAATCTAGTAAAGCCTATTATGGATGAATAGGAAGTTACTTACGAATAAAGTCTTAAATACATTGATAATGCTGGCATGTATGAAGGAAATGTCAAAGGTATTTAAATCTTCTATCTTTTGATGCATTCATTTAAAACTTCAAACAATACTGCGATTAAAAAGTGGAAGATCTTTGGAAGCATACCCTAAATTACGCGCGTTTGTGAAAGCTTCAACCAAAGGATAGGTACAAGCCAAAGAAATGTTCTGCATTTACAGAAAGCAACCGAAGCGGATTTTTTATTTCATACCCAGATGACAGTTTCAAAAGTCATACTTGAAGTATCATTACTTAGCAACTTTAAAGCACGTGTGTTTTAAGGCCCTTTTTCGCACGCATTTAAGTGTTTAAAACGGAGATTATGATTCAGGTATAATAAAAAAATTTTTTGTGCAGATCTAAGTAGATTCCTATCAAGCTTTCAATACCATTGGTGTTTTGTTGGGTAGTCTCTTCTCTTCCGCTTCCATTTCCAGACTCTCATTTTAGCACCATAGTGTATAATATATTACTGTGAATAAAGGCAAACTGTCACTAAGCTAGAATTTATGAGTCACTCACAACTCACAAGAACAAATAACATGAATCTCTTAAAATCCAGGATCGTCACATTCGATAATTACTGTAATAGAGAAATATTCGCACTCAGGGCCATAGACAAATACCACGCTACAAGCGCTCGATCGAAGCATGTTAGATAAGCCGTAATTACCTTATAATGTCAATAATCCAAATATCCCTTCTTACGCTTCGATTTCCATTAAACAGGCGCGTACAAAAAAACACTAAACTGAATTCGTCTCAGAAACTCCACTTCTTTATTACATAACACTGAATACGTGTCACAAAATTTCTCCTTCGCACGAATTCGGCTATTCAATTTAACACACCGTATCTCTTAATTCACCAAATTTTTAATTTCCCTCTCGTGTCTCGTATCTTTGATTCCACTTCCTTATTCTTAAGTTAAAATACGCAAAATTATCTTATCTAGAGCGCGAACCTGCGACAACCAGTTTACAAAATTAATTAACTTAGTGATCAAGCACAACTCTTATCTACGACCGGAGAAAAACATGAGATAATTTCGATAATATCGAAAATTATGTTCCTTATCTTAAACACAAGTTTTTTTACAATTTTAAATAAACAAAATAAACAAATTAAAATTCGGAAATAAACTAAAATTAACACTCGTGTAAACTGCGTAAATTAACTCAACAGTATGTCCTGTAATCAAAATAATCAAAATCGTAATACCCTTTTCCATATGGTCATTTTTACCTCTTTTGTGAACCACTACTATTACTCCTTCCTTCAACTCATCCGATAGGTCTCCTCCTTTCCAACTGTCCGTTGATTCGATTTGCCTATGTCTATATCCATGCCTCATCTGTTTGTTTTATCCGCCCCGTCTTTATTATTTCCCCTCCATCTCTTCTGTTGCTTCCTCCTTTTCTTCTCATCTTTTTCCCTTTTCTTTTTGCTCTTCCTCTATTACCGCCTCTTTTCCGTGATCTTTGTTGCTTGTTTCCTTTTCTATCTCGTTCCTTACATGTTGCCATGATATTGCATTTCTAATAATCTTTCCTATTCTTCCTATATATTCGCACTTTCTTCATTCTTTGTTTGGTCCAGTCTTCTGTAAATAGTTAATTTGTTACTAGTATAAATTCCTTTACTTCTTCCATTCTCTTTCACATTTACCATTTTACCTCTCTCTTTCTCCCATGCATGTGTATTGTTCCTCCATGTTTTCCCTTTTTGTTGCATTCCTTATCTTTTCATATTTTCTTTTGTTTCCCTTTTCCATTGCTCCTTTATTTCGTTTAGATCTACTATATATTCCTTTCCGTTTCTCCCTATTCCCATTTCTTTGTGAAATATTTAATTTCACCTTTGTTGTAAATCGTAGTCACTATCGTTCTTTTCCCTCCACCTGTACCCTTTTCCCCTGCATGCTTTTTGCCTTGTTCATTTTTGTCTCAATTCCATAATCGATGTTTTAGATTTTCTTTTCTCTTCCTTTTTTATATTCTTTTGCGCGAATTGGTTCTTTTCGGTTTTTCTCTGTGGACCCTTCCTCTTCTCTTTTATCTACGTTTCTACCAATCACACTAATTCGTATTCTTTTACAAAATCCCAGAAATGTTTAGATTTGATGATGCACCCGACTTAAGGAGAAATCAAGAAGAGAATCCTTGGATTTATGCACCTGTTTTGTTTGCGGTGACGTTAAGCTGCTGCAAGTTGCACAGCTGAATAATACAAAATGTGGAATATATTTAGATGTAACTAACCTCTATGGAACTAACTGGTTCGGTATTTTTTAATCATTTTCCTATAGCCAAGAGATTAATAGCAATACTTCAATCATTTATAGCATTTATATCATTTACTTTCTTTGTATTTAATTTGTTTTACTAGAAAATTACTTTAAAAAGGATACGATAGCTAATTCAGTTGTATTTTCCACCGAGATACTTTTCTATAGTGCAACACTGAGAGAGCGACTTCTCAATATAAAGCCATGAATTCGCACTTTTTAAACAAACTTACCAGTTAGATCTCTTGGGTGGGATTTAATTAATAGAGTGAGACATTTGTGCCATTTATATACTTAATTCAGATTGATAAAATTAAACTCAAATTATTTAAGTAAGCATCGCATAATCAAACGCTTGTTATCGTTGAAGTAAATGTCACGAACGAACAAGTATATTTCTCTATCCGCTTTCGTGTTAGTAAAGTTGTAATTTTTGGATTAGTTGCAGGGTGTTTTACTTTTCAAGGTTTTTTATTAATCGGTTGGGAATATTTCAAAGCTTTGGACGTATGTAAAGGTTATTTATTACATTACTTTTGTTTCAGGTCAGTACGATGTGGTTTGGTTTCGTGAGTTGAAGGGTAAGTACCCTTTCGGCGGTATAAATGAATGTTTGGGAACTTACCGCGTAAAAGTGCTCTTCGTAAATCTGTTTTGAATGCAATACAGGAACAACGCAGATTGGGTAAACACTTCAAAAATCTTATCCTGCATTTGAGATTCACATGTAGGATGTCTACAAAATTGATTAAGCACTTATGATAAGCGAAGAGTACTCGTGGAACATTTTTAGGTAAGGTCAATACTCTCAACGCGGCTATTGATCACCTTGTGTTTTGAGGTCTCGTTAATTTAGCTCTCTAGTTTAGTTTAAAAACATTTTCCTCTTATTTTTTCGTGTTTATATCCATTTACTTTCGTTGATAAGTATTGATAAATGACTTTTATAGGTTTAATTGAAAATATTTTACGGTGGTACTTATTGTGTAAAGATAGATTGAATATCGGTCTGTCGTTCTTGAGATTAGCAAAGTTGATAAACATTACTTACTTGAATTGAAGTGAAATTTGATTAATTGTTATTTGCTTTGAAAAGTTTAAATACTGGCTTTGTAAACAGTAGCTGTTCACAAATGTCTTATTTTTACATCATAGTAAATTTCGTAACGAACTATCAAAGCGATACATTTCCAGAGACTTTCGGGAGATTTATTCACACTACTTTTGCAGCGATATCTTGTAAAAGACAAGAGAGTATTATGCAATATCTACAAGTTAAGCATGATTCGGTCAACGTCATTACAAAATTATTTGATAAACATTTACTACGTTTATGTTATTAATAGGTGGAAAGAAAAACGTACGTGTGTGTTTTGTTTTCTATTAGGCGAAGTTTTTTTTCCATTTAACATGATCTTCCTTATCCAATAAGACAGTTTTAAACAAAAGTGGAACTAATTGTTTAGTACATGGAAAAAAACGCTACAAACGTCCTCATCTCCCTCTCAACTTCCCTCTCCCTCCCTCCCTCCCTCCCTCCTCACTGAAGTTGCTGGTCTTTTTTTAAATGGAACAGTCTATATATTTTTCTGTCATCTTTTACCTCCTCCAAAAACCTTCAACTTTTGATAATAATGTCCTACACCTATCTCTGATAGTTTTCTAAATATCTTGGTTTTCCTGGTTTTTATATTCCAATATTAAATAAGTTATATGTACTTTACATAATAGTGAGGTGGCCATGCAAAAAAGAAGCAATTTTTATTTGCCTCGTCCAAAGCTAAAATCATATTTATTAATTCATTTTTCGAATAATTCATTTAAGTGTAAAAACTGGAGAATAAAATTTGATACTAAAAACATAAACAAATATCTTGGTTTTCCTAGTTTTTACATTTTAATCTGAAATAAGTTCTAATTTACATAATAACGAGGTGAATATGAAAAAAAATGAAACTAATGTCACTGACTGGATGACATTAGGTGTTAAATTAAATTTGCTTTGTAGTCAAATGTTTTTACTTATTCTCCAATTTTTCGACTTAAAATAAATTGTTTGAAAAATAAATTAATCGATATGATTTTCGTTTTGGACGATATCTATAAAAATTGCCTTTTTTTGCATGTCCACCTCACTATTATGTAAATTACATATAACTTATTTAAGATTAGAATATAAAAACCAGGAAAACCAAGATATTTAGAAAACTATCAGAGATAGCTACAGGACATTATTATCAAAAGTTGAAGGTTTTTGGAGAACCTAAAAGATGACAGAAAAATATACAGAGTGTTCCATTTAAAAAAGTGAGATTTTTAATATGAAGTTTTGCAACTTTGGACCTACCAAAAAACACCCTGTAAGCTATTTTTTTATTGTTTCATAGTAGATGTATTTATTTGCATTTCACCATTATACATTAATTTGTGGCAAGCGGGTCTAAACACCCTCTGAAACCCCAGCGTCGAGGCGTTGAGCCCGTCACCCCAAAACCACCGCCTAAGTGGGACAAAATGTACCTTTTTTAAAATTTTCCTTAATAACTCTAAAACTAAGCATTTTAAGAAAAATTGTCGAGAGAGAAAAATTGTAGAGAAAAAAATTTCCCACCAAAAATATATACATAATTATTACTATACAGGGTGGTGACTTGCGTAACGCATCATAGGGATTTCAATGTAAAATTCATAGCATGCGATTATTGGCTCCCCAAATTATTTTAGGGCAAAATTGTATTAAGGTTTTTTGTAGAAAAAAATTTTTTACGTCAATCAACCGTATTAGTTTTCAATTTTTTGCATAATAAAGACGGAAAATTGGAAAAATAAAACTCGCATCTTTTTCAATAATCTGTGATGCCATGGAATTTTATAATACAAAAACTACGCCAATATCCGTCATGCCATGGAACGTCTGCTATAAAACAAATCAAATTCTATCAAAAAGTATTATATTTAGAACAGCGAATTCAACATAAAGAAAGACCAAATTACTAAAAACTGTTTCCTAATATAACAATTTACAATAAATGTTCGAATAAGTCACCATTAACTGCAAGATAGTAACCAAGTCAATCATAAAATCCATTTCGAACTGCTGCTAATTTATAACTAGATATCTTTTTGTTTCAGAAAATTCCATGGCATTGCAGATTATTGAAAAAGATGTGGGTTTTATTTTTCCAATTTTCCGTCTTTATTATGCAAAAAATTGAAAACTACTACGGTTGATTTACGTAAAAAAAATTTTTCTACAAAAAACCTTAATACATTTTTGCTCTAAATTAATTTGGGGAGCCAATAATCGCATGCTATGAATTTTACATTGAAATCCCTATGATGCGTTACGCAAGTCACCACCCTGTATACTATTTTCTAGTATTTCTATAAAACGCCGGCAACTGTTCACTTAGCTTGCCTACAACAGGATGAATTCAATATTGCCTGCAAGGGTGTCTTCGAAATTACCCCCCAGTATTCTAAGCACCCACCCCCACTCCAATCGTAGGTGTCTCGACTTTTCCAGCACCTCACTCTCCGTTTAGTTAATACTTGCGGTTAATATTGTTGTGTAAATACTACAGTCAATATTTTCCAAATTCTTGTTCTTTTTATCTTGCTGGCTGGCTGGCAGCAAATGCGGACCCGTAGAAGAACGCTTGTGGAAAATGTACCTAGCGGAGCCATATAATTAACAAGTGTAGGGACGGGGCTACATGATCTGGGGTCGGCGAGATCTGGGCGCCATCATCGAGTGTTATACTAACGTGGTGATTCTTCAGATTTTCCCTATCTTATTCTATAGTTTAGTCCGATTGTTTTCAAATTGGTGTCGTCGGAAAGATCTTGTAAACGCGCCCAACTCCTGCGTGACTGAATTTTCTTTTTTTTTGTAGAGGCGAAACAAACCACCTTTTCAAAGGCGCACCTCTTCGAGGGGTAGTCTACTTCGACCGCTCAAAAGTTGCCTTCGCCTGTGAACTTTGTCACTCGGTTTAAAGTTTCCCAAAGCCCAAATAGCGGCCTCTCCTTCTCGTGTCGCCAATAAAAACTCGAGTGCCTCAAAAATTGAGTACTATTTTATGGAGGATTTTTCGCGAAATGCACCAAAATGCGAATTGCGGGTGAACGGGGCGTCAGAAGTGGGTATCGACAAAGGGAATGTGGTTATCCCCGACAAGATCTTACTGATGGTGCTAATAGAATGAAATTCCGGAAAAGCCGAAATGTCCACGATTGGAGTGGGAGTAGTTGCTGAGGGTTATGGGGAGGGGGGGTCACTTCGAAGACCCCCTCACGGCCAGTATTGAATTCATCCTGTTGTGGGAACGCCACAGTTTCCGTCGTTTTATAGTAACATTGGAAAATAGTATTTTGATGAAGTATTTCAAAGGGTAGCTGAAAACTTTGTCTGCGCCACTCATCTAAAAAATTTGATGTATACCTATTTGGTAGGAAATTTTCTTCTCTACAATTTTTCTCTCTTGGCATTTGCTCTTAAGATACTTAGTTTTATCGTTATTAATAAATATTTAAAAAAGATAGATTTTACCCCACATAGAGGGTGGTTTTGGAGTGACGGGCTCAATGCCTTATCCTTGTCCTTGTCCTTGTCGCTTGCATCCTAGCTACTACACCCCAATCAGAACCAGTAAGCTTATAAAGAACATTGCTTCTTGTGTTCATTTTCGTACACAATTCTTCAATATGAATTTAGTAAGTTAACGAAGGAAGAAATTGACAAATAAACAGGAGTGAAATTAGGTTTTGGTCTTTTTCCATTCATTTGATATTTTAATGCGTTTTATAAGTTTGTTTCTTACTTTTTACTTTGTAAAATGCCTATGGCGTAAATAAAGTTATTATTATTATTATTATTATTATTATTATTAAAATGTTAACTTCCCTTTCTTTTTCTTTATTGCGCACGTGAAAATAAGACAATTTTGTCTGTCTTGGGAGAAAGTCTCCATTTCGTAAAGTAATCCACCATAATTTTTAATTTTCTGAATCATATTAGATTGGGAAGTAAGAGCAATATCAGCTGCATAAACTTCATGTAAGAGGTTGGGGGTATATACCACCTACATTAGCATTGGAAAGTAAAGGTGCGAGTATACCGATCCTTGGGGCAAGCATTATTAAGGCATTTAAATAACGAAGTGCGCTGTCGTCGACGGCCACGGTCATCCCGGCGATTTCCATATCGGCGATGACCATCCTGGCACTGATTTCCAGGCGACCATTTACTTCCCGGCTTCGATTACCCCGGCGATCTAAACCCGGCTCGGTGCCTGAGTGATAGAAAACATTTAAGACGCGGTAAACATATGAAGTAAATTCATGTTTATTATATTGAAACAATTCACCGGAATTAAGTTTTCTTATTTGTTACTGTATAGAGTGTAATTTTTCCTTTCTAGATATAATACAATCTGAATAGGAGCTATAGTATCAAATTTAAATTATGCCATCTATAGTTCTGTAAAGTTTTCTGCGTAGGAAAACGAAAAACGCAATTTTTAAAAAAATGCGTCCTTTGCACCGCTTGCAATTGTGTAAACAAGAGGGCTTATTTGAACTATTTCAACCATATCAACCACTTTCGGTACCTAATTGGACAACCCCTTCTAAAGTATATCATTGTTTATATCCAAAAAAAAAGAAAAATGGGGTTGGACAGACGTCGTTAGGAAAATGTGCATTGCCGTTATAATCGATGCCGAGAATGTAATAGTCGCCGGGTATAAATCGCTGAGATGACCGATGCCGGGATAGTAATGGTTGTCGGAATGGGTTGTTGCTAGGAAAACGATGGCGGGGTATACGTCACCGGGATGTACATCGCCGAGATGCACCGGCCGTCCAACGGGTTGAAACAGTCGCCCTTTTGTAGTGTCTCGAAAACGGCAAAAAATGGCGCGGCAGGGCCTATTTTCACCCTTATGTGCGTCTCAAAGTTCATACATCAGCTCCATCATTAAGACATTTCAAAAATCGAACGCTTATAATTATAAGGGTGAAATCCATTACGACAACGTGCTTAGCGTAGCAAGAAATTGCCTCATATAATCCCTCTCTTCTCACCCTCTGCACCTTCGCCTTAATATTAACGTTAAATTTTGGAAAACAAAGTCGCGCATTTCGAACAATAAACGCTTACGAACGAACATTCAAAAGCATTGTCATTCAAATTGAAACTTTACATACACCCATTTAACTGGGGGCCGGATTTATACCTGAAAATTCGCTTTGCGGTCGTTTATCAAAAACGCGCGCGAACAAAACCAACCCCAAAATCGCACGGTTTAATCATAATACGAGTACCTCGTTAGATAAAACTATTACCCGCGCCAAGAAGCAAAATTGCTAATTAAAGTAATCGAGTTATTATAAATTCCATTTAATTACCCGACATGAGAGCGATGTGTAAAACTAGTTTGGAAAGGTGAAGTAAGTCAGTGACTTCAATTTTTCGCC